TACACACAATTGTCTTACACACAATTGTCCGTTCTCACAATTGTCTATACACACAATTGTCTGCACACAATTGTCGTACACACAATTGTCTTACACACAATCGTCGTGCTCCCCACTGGTTGTATTAATATTATTATATGTATATGTAGTTTTCTTATTTCATATTTATCTTTCTTTTTTATTATAGCATGATCGAATGATAAGATATTCAGAGAAGAACATTTAAACTTATGTGCTGCATAACTACGAAATGTTCTTTATGATACAGATTGTTTTATTGGCAATAGAAGTAAAAGATAAAAGATATTGTCTCTTCTTCAATTTACCATACATTTTATAAAAAAGTTCGGCCCATATTTGTTTAAGATACAAAGAGATTTAAATTTTGAAACAATTGATTGGAAGAATTGAATTTTAGTCTGATGATTTTTTTTCTAAGACTTGCATTATTAATTATTTCTTTTCAATTTTCATAGGTACAGATGAATCCATGCCATTAACTATTCGATTATATAGAAGTCGAAAGTTTATCATACCTTTTCTGATTATAATTATTTTACTTGGCAGTTTTGTTATATTTCAATCCCTTAATAATTATTTTGATAGCATAAAACAGGTAATAAATAAAAAAAATATATTATTTTAATTATTCTATTGAAATATATATATTATTGTATTCAGTCAAATTTATATCTTCAACGACAATCATCAAAATTGAATTCTTCATTTATTCACCGAGCTATCTTAATATTTTATCCATCTAATCAAGAATCACATTATTTACCAGAAATTCGATGGTTATATCGTTCATGGGTTGAAATGATGAAATATGAATCGAAAAACTGGAGAACAGATTTAATTATATATACAGGAGAATATTCTTCATCATTTCAACAACTTGGTTGTATTCTTAATCAAATACGTATAAATAATACTGAGCAACCACAATGTCGAGTATTTCTTTATCTTCGTTTATCAATGCGTGAAATCAGTTCTTTAACTCAAAAACAAACAATATTAGCTAATCAAGGTAAAAAAGAATTATTTAACATTAATACTCAACGTTCAATACAATTGTATAAACAAATAAAACAATATGAATACATTGATTCTGTGAATATTATAGCTGAATCTTATCCAACATTTGAATATTATGATTTTATACTTAAAACTGATATTGATGTTTTTATAACCACACAGTTTGCTAAATATGTACCTCTTACAAATCTAACATTATTGGTTGGTCGTGGTGGTTATTCAACAAAATTTAATACACGTCGTTTAGGACGTATTGCTCGAGATATGAATTGGAAATATCAAAATATGACTAATATTGGATCAACATGGTGAGTAGATATCAATTGACTGTCATTATGTTTCTAGAGAATCTTCAATCATCATTTGCTATATGTGTATTAAGTCCCCATCTCAGTCAAAAGAATTCCATCGGATTTGGTATCTATTCTAAATCAGGATGACATAAGTGTGGTTTTGTGAAGAAAATAGTGGCACATTGTACGGTATATAAGAAATCATGTTTTATGGAAATTTTCATGTGCTAATGATCGCTACATTGCTTGTGATCATTGAGAAATGTTATAGGGTACTTATAGACATTCTAATCCATAGGATATTCTAATACAAACTTATGCAACTTTTTTCTAAACTCAGTTCGATACAGGGATAGGTGTTGTTCAATTTTCTATAATCAGTATTTTTCATCGTTGCTTTCGTCATATCTACAAATGGTCCCTTTTCTTAGATGTAGATTATTTCTTGATTATATGATATTTCATTGTGTTCAACTCTATACCATGGAACAAGTACGTATCAGTATGAAACTTTCTTAAAAAGCACACACTATTGGGTTCTATATGTTTCACATACAACATCTTTCAAAACAACAGGGACCTATTGTCGACTTGCAAGAGTGCCTCTTAGACTAGCGTATTTTACTCTATGGAGGCACTGGTATATTGACGATATTTTAACAATACTCAACAGTCCTATGAAATATTTTCATTGATTAATGATCAGCATAGCATTTCTGATAAACTGATACAAATAACTCCTTCACAAATAGAAAAAGCGTTTTGACTTCTAGACTCCAGAGGAGAGTACAGAGATATGGAAAAACTAAATTTTGAATTGAACATGTGATATTTATGCATTCTTATGGAGATCCATGCAAAAATCAAACTTGGATAGTAAGGGTTAAAATTTGAAAAAGTAATAATAAAAATAACAGATGTCGTTTTTGTATCTTTTGTACCCCCTCCTCCCCTTCAAGCGTTTGAAAGTCAAAACTTTGTTTTTCCTTTTTGAGAAAGTTGTTTATAACAGTTTATTAGAGATGTTTTGCTGATTATTGATATGCAAAGTTTTTAATAGAACCGTTCAGTATTGTTAAAATATCTTCAATGAACCAGTCCTTTCATATAGTAAAATAGATTATTCCAGAAGACAATCTTGCAAGTTGGTAATGGATATCTGTTATTCTGAAAGACTTGATATGTGAAACATATACAGCTCAATAGTGTACATTTTTTGAGAAAGTTTCACGTTAATATTTACTTGTTCTCTTACACAGAGTTAAACACACTGAAATATCATACATGCAAGAAGTAGTCTACACCGAAGAAAAATAACCATTTGATATGACGAAAGCAATGATAAGGCCTATTGATTATAGAAAATTAAAGAGAATTTATACCTGCATCGAATTGAGGTTCAAAAAGATTGCATAAGTTTGTCTCACAATATTGGATGAACTACAATATTAATGAGTACCCTCTAATATTTCTCAATGATTATAAGTAGCGTATCGACCATTAGTATATGAAAGTTTTCATAAAACTTGATTTCTTATATACTATTCGAAGCGCCGCACTGTGTTGTACACAGCCATATATATGATGTCCTGATTTAGGATAGATCACCAACTCTGGTGGGATTCTTTGTTGTTGTCTTCGATCATCCAATTTTCAAAACTATACACAGAAAAGATGCTTATCGCAGTATACACATTATTGTAAGAATTTAACTCTGAAATATTGAGGCTGCTAAGCGCTAGCCTAGTGTTATAGGATACAACACAGGTATCCATGGTTCTCAAATTTCTTCATCATTCCTGATGTTAAAATTTCAACTTGCAACAGCTTTTCTAATACAATGAGGAACAAAAATATGAAATACACTTGTAGAACTAACAAATTTTGTCAGGCATTCAGCGTCAAATCAAAAACTTTGCTTCTACTGAGTTGTAAAAGAAACTTTTCCTTCATTTTGAAATAAAGCCGAGCTTTCTAATGCTTAAAATAGTGCAGAAATTTGAGACGCATGACATTAACAAAACAAAACTTCTATTATGAGAAAAATGTTAAAGGAGTTGTAATACAATAATTCAATACTTTTCCTTCCATAAACTGAGATAAGAAGAACCTTCCAGTAGCTCGTCATAGACGATTGATTAGAATGAATCACATGAAAGCATATAAAAATGTATGAGAGAGATTTTGGACGATTTTTACATGAAAACACTAAGTTCACTGAAATATTAACGAAAATCACTCAGTTTACTGGAAAACACTTTCTTGAGTACAATAGCTTGGAAAAACTAACATAGTTACTTAAAATTACTTATAAAATCAATAAACTATCGTCTATTCAATAGCAGACAATGTGTTTTATCCAACAAGTTATAAATTGAAAAATATATAAAGGAAAAGGGCACATAAAACCTCGAATCAGTCTACTAATACTTCTGCGCTCTATATAGTAAAATTATACTTATAACAATATCACCAGTATAATGCGATATTTTAGCATTCAATTGTATCGGTGCATGCTTTAGTTAAATAGTCTGATGGTCACCGACAAAGATGCGCCTATTGCTACTGATTATCTCATCACTATATACCAATCTTTAGGAATCTAGACAAAGGTTAAACAATAATGAAACATTGTTGCAGTGTGAATTCAGGAGTCGTGTGTTAAAGCCTCA